AGATGTATGTACGCATATATATTGCGGATTATTTCTCGTGAAATGTCAGCGATTTATCGGCGATGCCGGAGAAAGTGGGTCGTTGCGACGTCATTTTTTCTTTTTTCCGTCTTTTTCAAGGTTGCTTCGTTCGGCATCGCGCAAGAGGTAATCGGCGGTGCCGATAATTGCTTAATAACACTTCTCTCCCTAGCGAGGCGAATTATAACGCGGCGTAAGCGTGATTTATCGATGGAAGCGGAGCGAGGAAAAAAAAAAAAGAGGAGGAGAGAAGGGAAGAGGAAGGGGCAGGAAAAAAGAGAAACGAAGCATTGCGTTTATGTCTCTCGAGAAACGGACATAAACGGCTCGAAAGAACTCGCGGATTCGCATTTTTCACAAACGAAACAACGCGAGACCGATTAGTCTAATAATTCTGACATAGAGTGTGTTAAATAAATTATAACCACACGACGGACGGTGAGATATGATTTATCGCGTGAGAAATGGTGAAGAGCACAAGGATTATATTTTGCAGAAGGAGTTGCGCGCGATCATTAACGATATAATCGTACCTTAAAGAGATTCACCGATAATTTGGTTATTATTATTGAAAATTATGTCTCTCATTGCCATCGTTATGCGCATTTATATATCTCGGTCGCTTTTATGCACGCGATTACATATCTCGTGTTTAGAATTAACGATAGATTATTTTATTTTGTGTTCGTCTTGCAGTTTATACACACTGACAAGAAAACTCGCTAAATAAGCATGAAACCGCTTGAAAACGTTAATCGGCGGTATATTATGCTTAAAACCAAAGTGATCATGTTACGTTCAATATTTTGACTCGGAGAAAATTTCGCATTCCTCATAAACTCGTAAACGGCACGCGTTATTCTTTACATCGAGATTTTTTAATTGAATTCTGCACGATATGTACCGGGAGAATTTTCTCTTAGGAATTCCGTCGCGTTAACGAAGCGTGTAAAAAATATCTGGAGAGACAACGAGAGCCAGCTTTCTAGACGTCGTAGAGGTGGAGATTGCTCGCGCACGCGGATATCCATCTCGCGAATATATCATTGAAAATCTCGTTACCTGACTGCGCGATGCAACATCTGCCGCGCGCGCACGCGTCCCGCTCGGTTTGATAAACGAGCAAAAGGTGAGTCGGGGACGCCGAGGTCCATTGTCGGGTCTCTTGCGGTACTTTCCAACGGATTCTCGCGTGGTTCCCCCGTCCCCCTGTCGCGTCTCGCCTCATCGGAGAACCTTTCCTTCGACGAATCGACAGAAATTTATCCGTCGATCGCACAGACGCGTCTTTTTTAACCTCTTTCTTTCTCTCTCTCTCTCTCTCTCTCTCTCTTGTCATCGGCAAGGAAATCGAGGGACCCGGCAACTGCTCTCTTTGGGACAGCATAACGTGTCACGTAAAAGCTCCGCCGATTTTCCTCCATGAATTATGCATGCGGTATTCTATAATATGTTCCGCGCGAGCGAGCAAATACATGTCAGAATGTTTCGAGTTGTTTGTCAGAGTACTTTTTATTAAATCGTTAAGATTGTATTCTGTAAATTGCTGGTGGGGTAAATAATGCATTTGTTTGGGATTAAGGTCAATTTCTTTATTTTACCGTGCGAGAGTTATAATTTTAAATACTACTGGAACATTCTCGAGCGAACGAGACTATTCTCTTTAAGCGAGCAAAAGAAAAAAAAGAGATAAAAACGCAAACTCGCGAGCGATCAACCGCATGCGAATGCGTGAATCGTTACGTTCGCACCGTTTATTATCATTTAATTGCCGAGTCTGCGCAAAGTCTGACATTCTACAAAGAATAGGATATATTATCGATCGTGGTAAAAAAAACACAATCCCACGTTATTTCAAGTGTTACAAGATGAAACTTTACGATATCGTATAAGCGAGTAACGAGTTCTTTTGTTAGCTTCAACGTCGTGCGACCATCGTTTGTACGAGAATCGATTCGGGAGCAGAAGAGACGAGCAAGAATCCTTCGCGGCTCCAATCACAGGATCATGGAGATCACGGACGAGATTCTGCGCTGCTGTGTGTGACCGACTGCTGATCTCCTTCATTCAAACGTATCGTTCGCGACACGCGTTACTCGGGTACTTTAGGCTGTGCCAATTTAAAAGTCAGTCAGGTACCTGAAGTAGCGCGCGCTGCGGAGAAACGAACCGCGCCTTTTCGAGGGGACAGGAAGAGAAAAAGCAGAAGTTTGAAGAGGGGGGAGGGGAGACGTGGGGAGAGATAGAGAAAGAAGAGCAGGGTCGGGGAAGAAGAGCGCGTGTGTGGAGGCTGCATGTTAATTGTACTTCATCAGGTGCTCTGGTGGATTCGATACCCGGCACCTGTTGGAGCGCAATTCATATGACTATGCCTTGCTACCTTATTATTCCCTCCCGCAAGCGTGAAGACCCGCGTCATCGAGGATAAGCAACGCGCGTGCGACTTACATCGTGTGCAATTGAAATCGTAATATATATATGTATAGACTTTGATCTTGTTCCTCTGTCTGTTCGAATAAAGTTACGCGCAAAAATGATATTGTATGTATAAGATGCTGTAAAATATAAAAAATAACACTCGATTAATTTAGTCTGTAAGATTTTTATTTTTTTGCAAATAGTTCGACAATACAAAAAGACCTTTACGTATCCGTCATCTGAAACGTTCCCGGAATATATCGTGGCGATCCTACGGCGTGATGTTTAATCGGTAAATAAAATTAGTGCTTCGTCGCTACGTGGTAGCTATTGCGTGATCGTTACTGCGGAAAGCTGTTAACTGCGTGTGTTTGTATCCAACGCAAAGGAGAGATAGAGCTCGTAGTCTGGTATCTCGTCGTCAACTAATGGGATAATGACGTTACATAGGGTCGCGTGGCCGGGCAGAGAGAAGAAGAAGAAGCGATAGAGAAAGAGACAGGGTGTGGGGGGAGGAGAGGAAGGAGTGTGTGATGAGAGAGGAAGGAGGAAGAAGGGAGAAAGGAGGTCGTATAACGCAATTATTCAGCTCCGTGCGTACATCGTCTTGGCGAAGGAATTCGAGGGCGACTAAAAGCGACCGATAGCGAGGCGACTCGTCGGGTTTCTTTTTACTCGGAGTTAATTAATAATAATCGGCAGCATAGGTGGATCGATGGAAAATGATATTTCAACGTGATGTTATATGCTTTTTCCTGCCCTGTCCTACCCTGTCCCCTCTCCACCCTTTCACGCTTGTACATAAAAATTATTTTCAGCCAAGGTTTTTGTTTTCGTTCTGATTAAAGATAGGAGAATTCATTTACTCGCGGACGGTAGGGCAGATGGTTCGTTAATCGCGGATCGTTTCAGAGCACGCACAGAGTCGGAGAGTTCTTTATGGAATATTTATCGCACGTGATTGCTTATTCCATCGTACTAAACGTCAAATGCGTGTTTCGCCTTGTAGTAAACATATGCCGGACCCTAATACATGTATACGAAATCATTAATCAGTCTGTTCGCCGGCTAATATAAACGTGATGACGTCAACTTTATAACGCCGACATATTCGTCAGTCTCGGACTCGATTTACATCTACATGACAGGATAATATCTGATGGAAATTCGAGTTCAACTCCCTTGGCATGCATTAATGACTCTTATTATCTTTCTTGTAAAGAGCGCGCCTTTGTAACTATTATAATTTCCACCAATGTGCTTTATCACTATAAACGTGATTAACTTAACCACAGTCTGTCTGTCGGTCTGTCTGCCTGTCTTACGATAGTGCTACCGCGAGAGATTGCTATTACTCAACTCCGAAAGAATCACGGGAATTAATAGCAGATCCGCGTAATTACCGGCTTAATTTCCTGGCGCTTGTAATTCCAGTCTATTTGACCACACCCAAGATATAATTGCGCCGCGCGGAGAAAATGAACTACTACCTCTCTTTGCAAATCCTTCGCGTAAGCGTCCTGATTTAAGCGCAGGTTACATTTCCAGCTGCTTACTCGACGTAATGAGAATAAAATTGAAAGAAAGAGCGGAAATATTTGTTATAAAAGTTTTTGAGACGAAAATCGAAGAAGCTCCTATATTTATGTCGCATTCGATATTGTTGAAATCAACCCTGGAATATTAGCGGGGATGAAGGAACGTTTCCAAAAGAATCTAAAATCGCCATATTTTTTGTGATTAGATTTTTTTAACTTGGAGTTACATGATACACATGTCTAAATTAAATTTTTCTTTAAATAAAGCGAATATAACGTATAAGCAATTACTGCTATTAGAATCGTATTGTACAGTTATAGGTTTCAGTCGCCCGCGTGCTTTTTATCCGTTACTCGAGGAGAGACGCTTCGAGGATTTTTCCGCTTTACTATTACGCTAATTGATCGACGGTTTTACGCCGTATACGTATGCTTGATGCTTGTTTTTTTTTTTTTTTTTTTTTTTTTTCGATAATGCGCTCGCCAGCGTGGCTATGCGCTTCGCCAGCATATTCATGAGAAAGGAGAATGAACGAGGAGAGAAAAAGGAAAGGAGGTAAATAAGAAAAAAAAAGAAAGGAAACGTACCGGTCTGCGCTCTCGCATGAGTTATAATCCCGAAGAAGGAGCATCTTCTGCTTCGAGAGAAATTTAAGTGGAATTACAAGTCAATCGAGCGGGCTTAATGAGCGCTTTAACGAGCGCTAAAAAGGGGGTACCTCGTATATCGACCGAACGGAATCGAACGTAACCCGGTGGGGTTAATACCCGTGGAAGAATTTCACTTCATACCCTTATCGCGCGCCTCGAGTCTCAGCTCGCATGCTAATTGCACGCTAATATCGTTCTGTGCGAGAGATTACGATGATACTATGGTTTTTACAAAGATTGTAATATTGCTCAGCACATACACGGAAAAAAAAGATTAGCAACAGGAGCTAACATATAGCTGTGATAGCTAAAATGTGTCCTTAAAATAAGGACAGCTAATACTGTTGCTGCCCAAGCTAAATGTATTAGCTATTTTTTTTTTTTTTTAGCTATTTTAACGCGTCGATGTTGTCAATGACAGCGTCGCAGAAACAATTAAACAATTGTGAATCGAAGATTCGCGCGCATACCCATAAACTTAGCTGCGCGTGCTAAATGTTTTAGCTATAAAGCATATTCCGCAATGTATGCGCATAGTAAGAAATTTAGGTACGGTTGCTATCTTTATAGCTGCTCGTGTTAATATACGCTTTCAATTTCAGCTAATAAATTTTCATGCCACAGTGAATGTTTTTTACCTATAATAACTAGTACTTAGCTATGACACTAAGGCGATAGCTCTTACAGCTAAGTTTGATTCAGCTACTGAAATTTAGCTGCTATTGTTAAGTCATTTTTTTGCGTGTAGTTTCATCTCGAAAAGTTAGATTTAGAGAGATTAAAATTATGTATTAAGGAATCCTTATCTCATACTTTTATTGCGCCGATTAGAAAGAATTAATTGCTGTCATCGAAGCTTACAAAACGCGAATATCACGAAAATTTCTGTCTGAATGATGACTCGGATGACTTCGGTCTTCGGTCACTGTACTAGTGGATGATTGTATAGTACACGAAAAAAATCTCTTCGACGCGCGGCTTGTCGCCAAAAACTACATCAACGTTCTACCAAAACGGCATAATTGCGATTTTATCTATTTTCTTTGTTTTTAAATATTTACATGTTGATTGTGTATATTTTAATCAATAAAATACTTTGACATAAATAATATTTTTTTTTTTTTTATTATGACAATCGAGATATCTTTGATTGCCATAGATTAGCAACCAAGTTTCTTTGCATGAAATTCTTTTACTTCTGATTAATTCTATCGCTTTCATTAGTATACACATATAATTTTATCGCGCCTATAAAAATGTTACATTTCAAAAATGTATATCTCTCGTGTAATAAATATATATTGTAATTTTTATTTTTGATTGACGCAATATACACACGATTCTTTGCATAATACATTCTTGGGTGAGACACAATTTTGTCTCTTGATGTAAAATACATAGAAAGACTCACCATCGCCGCATCAATTCCTTAAACGTCAATCGGGAGCATCATTTTCGATACTAATTATGTATCTTTATTGAAGTATATCGTCGTTTTATTGTTAATAATTATACAGAAAAATATAAAAAATGAAAAAAAATATATCTCGATTCATCGAAAGTGACGACACATCGGAAATGGATACGGGTTGATAGATTCATGTTGCACTTTATTGCATATATCACGATAAAATCTCGTGATACGCGGCGATGATACAACAACGATTACAAAAAGATATACACAACGCACATGCGTTTACATTCATCATTCAATATATTCATATTTTATATACAATCGAATATATAACATTCAAATCTCTTGCATTAACCCCCGACTGTCGAGCGAGGTCTTGATTATTATTTAACTGTCACGCATACCAAACTCGTTCGCAATTTAAAGATAAATCATCGTAACACACGTATGCGGGCCGAACGATGTATAAATCATCGGGTAGAAAAATATGTTGATCACACGATTAGTCGAGGGGGTTAATAGAAGCAGATCGAGCTAAATGTATCGATCACGAATCACGGAGATCGAAATCGACATTCGAACAAAAATAAACATTCTTTGCAAAAATATTAATTATCAACTACGATTCGACGAATTGATTCGTTTGTAGAGATGATTTCAGTTAATATTATATTGATTGTGAAATTGTGTGTAGAGATTCGCGAAAGCAATGTTTATGGTCGGGTTTCAATCTCTGTCAAACGATACATACTTTCAGCATTCACTTTACGTTTAGAGAGATACACGTTGCTTCGCTCGCGAGTTTCTCGCGATGTTTTCGATAGTTTGACACCGCGCGCGAGCGTAAGTTGAGCAAGTTTGCGAGCTACTCTACGCATTGTCTACGCCAGCATAGCTCGGGCCGAAATGATCAGTACAAACTGGAAAGTTGGACGTTATAGCGGGTTAAAGTGCACCGCGTACAAAGCTAACAAGTTACAAGAGTTTCGATAGTTCTGGAAAGTATTAATTGGAATCGGCGCGGCTCGTTACAAGAGGATCGAAATTGCGTTGCATGTATCGCGCGATAAAGAGATCTCGTGCATTAAAAAATAATATTAATAAATAGAAAGAATACAAAAAAATCTGTTTTCTCTTAATGTAGCTTAAATAATTTCTTAATAATTCGCAATCAACGATTATTTCTCGCGACGATTTCCAAAAGTGTCCGACAGGGTTATCAGAATTTCATTCCAGCCGCTGACCATGTTTGATCATTCAAATCGCTGGCAACTGGTATCATCATGTCCGGAGGCACAAAACATATTTAAATTGAAGTCGCGTTTGACCTTGAATCGATATTTTTTAAGTTATTTTCACGTTGTTCGATGTTGTCGTCGAGGCCGGTGGGCCTCTGCATCCTTGGCACATCTTTCTTTCTCTCTTTCTTGTTCTCTCTTTCTCTCTCTGTTCTGCAGCCAAGCATGTACCTTGGTAGACCGATCAATAACGTATCTCTCGTGTCTACGTCTTGCGGCCGCGATGCAGTATAGTCGAATGTATTTTAACGGCGAAATTATTCCCCAGGGTACGAATACTAAACGAGAAAATTTCCCGTTCGCTCCCTCGTTGCCATATTGACATTCAGTTACAAAGACAATTTAATGGCGAGTAATTAAACAACAAACCGCTTGAAATTCAGAATCGGCAAAAGCTTGAAGAATCGTACAACCTATGAGAAATTATTCTCTACCGCGAGGGATCGTACACGTTGAATCCATGACGTCATGCGTAGAATTCGCAAAGCCGAGATCTCTCACCGCAGAAAATATGTATTATTTTTTTCTTTCTTTTTTCCAGCAACATATAATATACGTTTGTCCATGATCCCTTTTCGCGACACGTGTCTTGTTCGCGACCGGGAATTTTCGCACGGGTGGTCCACCCGGTCCGGCGCATTCGACGCAATCTGATCGATGCGCCACCGGCGCGTTATAACGCGGCTCCGCCGTTATGCAACTTACTGCACCAACGAGGTTGCGCCAATGAGGGAGATGCCAAGGTCGATGCACCAACGAACTCTCGGCGCAGCTTCGACGCGGCAGCGAAGGAGCCGGCGGCTTATCGTCGCCGGTTCAGGGATATCTCTTGAGCGCGTACATAGGGTATCATTTAAGGGGGGAAACCAGTGTAACGGTGGCTATTTTAAGAACTTTTTTTTTCTAGTTAATAATTTTTTTTTTTTTTTTTTCATATCATGTTATTAACATCACAATGTACCTAATTTGAACTACTTTTCATGAAATTTTCGTTAAAAAATATTAATATTTATATCTACAATAGCCAATAGCGTAGTGGAGCAATGAAAGCTGATATTTTTTAACGAAAATTTCACAAAAAGTAGTCAATTCAAATTATGTACTTTGTGATGTTAATAACGTGATATGAAAAATAAAAACAATTATTTACGAGAAAAAAATCATTAAAAATAGTCACCGTTTAGTCCGTATCAGACTACGCATTGAAAATTGAGAGTGAAGATTGAAGATTGAAATTTGACCAATCAGGACAAAGAAATTTTAGTTCCTTTTGTTCTGATTAGTCAAATTCCAATCTTTAATCTTCAATCTGCAATTTTCAATGCGTAGTCTGATACGGGCTTTACACTGGTTCCCCCCTTAAGGGCAAACTCGCCTTTATGATGTAACCGATGTATTTCCACCCGCAATTCTACCGCCGCGAGCAATACTGTATTTTCACATTTCGTTACTATCCAAATAAATATATATTATAGATCGATACGCACAGGTTAAATTCAATCCGCTATTTACATATTCATTCGATATTCATATTTACACGCTCGAGAGCGAATCTTTCGCGTTACACATGATTCACATACTCTATATTAATTGAAAAATTATATCTCAGGCGTATTTAAAGTTTTATACTAAAATAGATTTTTTAAAATAAAATTCTTAAATAAAAGCTCTGTCGCACAACACACTAGATCGGGATTTACACAATAGTGCAAAAGTATTAACAATATGTCGCGAAAATGATATAAAATTGAAATATAAATGTCAACGAAGATAAGGCAGATGCAATAGAGGCGCTAAAAATATTGTAGTCTTCGCGCTTGCCCACCTTCATTCCAACGATAGAAAAAGAAATTCTTTCTTCAGCGCATTCCTTTTCTAACGCATTTAAAACTTTCCGCTCGCTAATTATTATATCAGACTTTCTTCTTCCTCTTCTTTCTTTTACGATCAACGACTCGTGCTTATAACATCAACATTGTAATGTAATCGACACTCTTAAATTGCGGACAAGTTTCCTCTCTCTCTTTCGCGAGGCGAGCTTTAACGGTATCGTCGATAGAATGTGATACTCACCCGTCGTTTCTTGGCGTGCTTCGGAATGAGGGAGTTCCTAGAAGGATTTTCACGGCTCTTACCGAGTGTTATGGGTGTGAAATCTGTCCGTGTCGGCTTATGTGGCTTCCCTACGTCGCGAGAAGGCCGAGGACGCGGCTGAATACGACGACGACGACGACGACAACGACAACGGGGACGACGGCAGGATCGACCGTGTCGTTCCAAGTCGTGCTACGAAGAGGGGAACGGAAGGGGGAAGAGAAGGTGGCGCACTTCCAAGCTTCTGGCGGGTCTTAGTTCGAGGCGGAGGGCGTCTTGGGTGGCTGGAAGGGGTTCCATTTCAGACACTCCGGATCGATCTCTTTGTAGACGGGACCCCGTCTTTTCACCCTGTCCTTGTAGTCGTCGATCACGTCCTGAAATTATTTCAACGATCCTTTTATCGCGGCAACCGCTCCGGGCGACGCGACGGCCTGCGCCGAGCATTTCGATGAAATCGACGAGGGGTGGTTGTAATATCGATGGCGAAGGGTGGAACACGGTCGAATTAGCCGAATGATAATTAGCCTCGCAATATGGTCGGACCATATCGGAAATACTGCTCGCTCGAAACGAACGGCGAACGATCACGAAATCGGATCATCCTCGTTACGTCATAATCACGTTAATCGGATAAGCCGCCTGATAATCGTGAGGAAGCCGTGGTCTGCGTGCAAGAGATTTTTTTTTTCTTTTATTATACCGACGAGACATCTGTTTCTCTTTATCTATCTTTGCGGTCTGATACAGGAGAAGGAAAGAGATACGGGATAAAATTCCCGCAAGACTCTGTCATCAAACTGATTATATTTATAGACGCGACGATAACGCGTGGAATTTTCAGCATTAATGTTATTCTGCCAGTTGAACGTCTCATGTTCGGCCAAAATGTATTTATTGACGCAAAAATAAAATTCTAGCATTAAAACTATATGCAATTGATGCACCGATCATGTATATATATAACATTTAAAAAAATATATTACATTCTTTGTATATTATTTCAACTTTTTTATATTATTGTCTATATATGCATTTATCCCGTATGATAAGTATGTATATAAATTTTCTAGATTTACGAATGACGTGTTGAGGCGATTCTCGACATTGTTATGTTTAAGTATTGCAAATTGTGATAAATCCTACGTGGTGACAAGCGCGTTCGCGAAAAAGAATAAACGCTACGCTCTCGTGAAACGAAGGGGAACTTTATACATATACATATATGCATGACAGGTTACAATAACAAAAGAGCGCCTACCTGTTTCTTCAGAATGATATGCTTGCCCTTCCAGTACTTCATCATACCAAGGGCCTGCAAAGTGCTGACAATGTCATACGAGTCGATGGCCATTTCCTTGCTGATATCTGTGTGAAAGAAGAATTATCGAGCTTGTCTCTCGTGTCAGTCAATAACGGTCTTTTTCCGCGATCCTCGTTGGAATTGAGAATTATTGTCGAGGGAAAAGCGTCTCGATGGGTCATAATACCCAATCTTATACAAGAAACTTGTTTCTCGTGACTAAGACTAACTAATAAAATGACGTGACTAACGGCAAAATACGCGATGAATAAAACATGGTAAATTTATTACTGATTGATATTTTTCGTGCGTGAAGCAACAAGAATAAACATCGTTAAAATGTAAAAAATCTACATAATTGGAAGAGAGATATTCTCTTCTTTCACTATCCTCTTTAATTATAGCCGCAAATCCGGTTCAAATTTAAAAAAATCTCTAGTTAAATATATATATTATATATTATATATTATATATTATATATATATTATACTTATATTTATATTTATTGTATCTCGAAATTCGTTTAATATTGAATCCATTTAACTCGATCGCTTCCGATAAAAACGATAATAAACTTAAATTAAGGTCTCTCTGCAGAATAGCAGTTGCGAAAATGCAAAAATGATAAATCATATATAATCTGCTGCGGTTCTCGACAGGGAGTAGAACGGTTTATCCTGCTCTTGTGGATACAATTATTCAACCGCTAAAACCAGTTACACGTTGGGAAAACTTGACCATCAGATCAATAACAATGCGATGTAAATCCCTCGCCGATGATTCCCTTTTCTCTCTCGAGACATAAAATCTAAAATAGAGTCTACAACATCGATCGAGGGTAGATTACTATATGCGTATGTGTTTCGTGTACATAAATTCTCTCGAGAAAAAATAAATTCTGATTGTGTGGAATAGCGAAAAACAGCGCGAGTCGGAAAAAAATCTGTCATAAATCTAACACACTATCGAGATATTTTTAAAGATCCTTTTTCGCAGGGAATTATGCAACGAATGTAAATTTTTGCACCGAGGAAAAGTTATACGGCTTTCAAAACCAAGCATTGCATTAGCGGTTCAAAGAGGTAGGTCTGCGAGTCTGTCGCATTAGCGCACTTTAATTTCGCGCATGAATATTTAAGTGCCGCTTCCCGGAGTGTCAAAAGTTCGTCGTTTCGACGGACTGACAACGACGGTTACGAGAGCTTCGCGTAGGACTCACTCCACTTACCTTTGACAGAGATTTCCTTGCCGCCGAAATTGCAGAGATACTGTAACAGTACGTCCTTCCAGTAGCTGCGGTACGAGATCAGACCGAGATCCGATAGCGGCTTCTCCGGCGAACCGATCTTCTTCTCGACCCTCGTCAGCAAGTAACCTGCTCAAGCGGATCGGAAAATTCAATTTTTATTTATACCCGCAGAATGTGGTTCGATCTTACGCGAATACCAATAAAAGTCGCGCATCGATTAGTAATAGCCATAAAAAGAAACATAAAAGTGATGTGAGAAATCTTTTATGTTGTTATTATAAAGGAAATTATATCTCGCTAATTTATAAAATTACTTGGACTGCGCAAAAAAAATGTTAATAAATGACGATATTAATTTTCAAATTATAACCGATTAAAACGGAAAGATTTCTGTGAATTTTCTAGGATGTATGTGTGCATAATCGGATAACAAAATCCTATTATACACTTTAATTCGAGCGCAGACAAGTGGCTGACCGGATCCGACAGAGGAACGGACCCGTCCGCTCCCGGTTGAACGTCCGTTCCGCCTCGTTTGCCCGAAATATTCTACGGCGAGGCATTAAAGAAAAATATATAGACAGACGAGGGGGAGAAGAACAAGTGGGAAAGAGGGGAGGGGTATCCCGAGGCCTTTCGTGCGGCCCGTCTGCCCGGTGAATCGGCGAAATCATCCGTTGCGCGCATCCGTCTACGTCAATGGAATTATCCGATGGACCGGTTAAAAACCCATTTTCAAGGATGGGGGAGAGGGACGACTTAAATGCCAGATCCAGATCTACCGCAACTCGGAGAGCGAATGGGAGAGATCAATAACGCGGGCCGCGTGCGTTTAAGTGCAATCGATAAGCGCTCTTATCAGCGAGCCGACGCAGGTCGAAATCCAAGAGCGGACAGAATTTTAATTCGGATCTTGATCGTTAAAAAAAATTTCAAAGGTTCCCGAGTTCGAATTTATAATGGAACGCGAGACTGGCGATTCTCATCATACATACGACAATTTGTGCGACGCGAATCTGAAAATTATCCATCTTCCTATCATGACGGAGAGAGAGAGAGAGAGAGAGAGAGAGAGAAAGAGAGAGAGAGAGGGATAGGGATCGTCGGTGAGTGACACGAGTCACCGAGAAATGAGAGACTGATCCGCGTAGGACTCGAGGCTGAAATACGTAAAAGTCAATCTCGCGACAGATAGCGTCGGGGATGAGATTTAATGGATTCCATATAACTGCACTTCGCATTATGTATAACCGATTCTGCTACGTCCCGGTATCGTGGACGACCACGGACGGATTCGCGAGGATATATGTCGGCGCACGTCGCCGTCGCATATCCGAAATTAAGCCGGCAAGTTCAAAAGCTCCTTCTTCATTAGTAAAGTACTCTCTCCCTGCCGTCTTTCGCCAATGGAATCTCGTCGTCCAGAAGACGTTTATTTAAAGTTCTCAATGCGCCGTTTTCGCGCGGCTAATGTATCAAAGAGTATACGAGCTAATTAAGTGTTAAGAGATTACCGGCACACAGTATTGGTCGACGGAGAGAGAGAGAGAGAGAGAGAGAGAGAGAAAGAAAGAGAACATTTTTGATTTATTTAATTTATTGTTCTATAAATTATAATCTGGGATCATACTTTATCCACAATTGTTTTTCGATGTTCAAAAATAAAAATTTTATTTTCTTGTAATTAGAGAGAATAGGAAAAAAAAAAGATATTTATAGTGCTAATATTCTTTTTTGTTAGAAAAATTATTAATACGCGATGTTTGATGTGTGTGTAGCGAAAATAAAATTTTATATTACAAGATTTCAGTGTCCCTTTCATTTTGTATTGTACGCGAAAAGCGGTATACCGTTTAATCTTTGCACGGAGAGTTTTCAAGGAGTTTTAATTCCTGACCCCAAATAAGCTCCAAGGCTTCCGTCTACGTGCATCTATTATGCATCTGTTATGCATGTGATCTCGCAGTCATCTCGCATTCGACGTTTTCCCGCGCGTGTAATCGCGCTTTTCGCGAAAGGCAAGAGAGTAGCCTCGCCCTTTTCATCCCCGTCACGGACAAGGACGGCAAGCGAAGAGACGTGTCCTCGCGAATATACCCGCACCGGGACACCGGCGGATCCTGCGTCCCCCGTTCCCGTTTTCGTTCCAGGGTGTTCCCGGTCGGCGAAGGGTTCAACGACCACATGCCGTTTCTCTCTCTCTCTCTCTCTCTCTTATGTTTCATGCCGCACCATCTCCTTCACTTTCGCGGACTGTGTATCTCCGTTGGCAGAGAGGACACTTCTACCCTGCTCTCTCTCCTCCCTCTACCCCTCCACAGACTGCCATTTCTCGTCGACGCTCCGCGGGTATTCACCGCCTCCCCCGCCATTTCTCCTTCTCACCACTGATTACTTTGGGAGGGTTGAACGCATTCATTACGCGTCCGTTCAGTTTGCAGACTTTCGGGATCGGCCTGCCGGCAAAGGGTGGAGCGGGAGGGGAGAAAGAGGGGCGAAAGAGAATCGACGAAGGGGAGGGAATTCGACGGTGGAAATTCGAGAAAGAGGAAAACGGTGACTGTCGCGAAGTGGGAGAAAGGAAGATGGATCGGCATAACAGAGGAAAGGGCGCCGGGGAGAGAAGGGAACGTCCCGGTCTCGGGCAGGGTCGGCTCGACGAAGGGTGCGGGGGCCAATGAGGGATTCGCGAACGGCGAAATTGGGTACCGTTGAGAACAGTTCGTTGCCTCGTCGGAATCACTGACAAAGAAGATTTACGACTTGTCGAGGATATTTGTCTTCGGCGAAGCTTAATGGAGCAAGTGGTCGGAGCAAAAATCAGGATGCCGTGCAATAACGTTAATAACGTTAATTTAACAGTAATATACAATTATCGTATAAGATGATCGTGAAACCAGAGAATTTTAACTCTTAACAAAATCGGCACCGAAAAAAAAACCAAGCAGAGATCCTATAATATTATTATTAACAAATTCAATTAAAAAAAAAAAAAAAAATATTTTTTTTCCTTTAAGGAAGTGTTTCTTTTCGATTAAGAAAATTTTATTCATATTTTTCTTCGTATTTCTAATCGATATAATTTTCATTTCGTTCCTCTTTAAAATATTTCTCTCCAGTTCGCCACTAAAGATTCACTTTTAACAATAAATTTGTTATTTTCAGGGTGAATGGAAAGAGTTAGGTCATGGGACCCATTCGTTCCGGTTCCACAAGATGTATTCATTCTATTGCAGTTAGGGGACAAATTCAACTTGTAATTTCTTTCGGTGACGTGGACGATTTGTCTTCGAGATGTCGCGCGGCAGTCTTAACAAACAGAGAAAAAGAAGGGGGGAAAAAAAATACAAACGCCCGAAAAAAAAAAAAAACACAGAGTCCGTTCGTCTGGCGGCGAGACGCGACGTGTATCCGCCCTTCGCCCTGACGAAGGCGAGAGATGCTGCACGCCGACCCTGCCCAGTCGCAGCAATGTTGCGGCGGTAACCCCTCCGTCCCGATCCCCCCATATCCCCCCTCCCCTAGCCATCGTAACTGGA